AACTGACAGTTGCAAATTCCATTTTTTAACGTCATTCCTCTTTGACTTTATAATTTCTGCTCACTTTGCACTCCTCCCTATTTCTCTTTTTACATTTCTAGCCTTCATTAATCTAAAAGCCTGTGCCTGCATAACTTGTAATTTCAACTGCTGAAGTAAATTAAATATTTTTAAACAACAAATATTTCTCCTGTACTTCTAAAAAATTAAACATTACATTATTCGATTTTTTTTTTAAACTTTACCATGACTTCTTTATGTTCCTAACAGATCTTTTTGTGTGACTTATTGTGCTGGTTCCTGGAGTTGGGTTTTTTTTTTGTCATTTACCTTGCTGACTGGCTGGTATTTTGGACTTTACCTGAGGGTGGTTGATCCATCTTGTCAATGGAAAATTGTATTTAGTAGTCAGTATAATCTTTTAGTGATATAAGTTTGCATATGGTAGAATACTGCATGTAGTTATTTGTATTAGAAAATATTCAACCATGTATACTTAGAGGCATATAATTAATTGTGTGTGATCTCTAACAGGCTGCAGGCTTGGGGTGCATCCCAGGAATGCACCCCCACGTCTGGGAGCATGAGAGCTCATACCTTGTTTTATTGTTTTACGGCAGGATTAACGTAGCTATGTCTGTTTTAGTTTAAGTGCTTCTTTACATATAGATGAACTGCTGGACTTCCTCACCATGTTATCTAGGGTGGGGGAGACTACCCCCTTTCCTGACCAAGGATGTACCTTTTGTGCTCTCATGACCCTTTGATCAGCAGGACACACACACACACACACACACACACACACACACACACACACACACACACACACACACACACACACACACACACACACCTACTGAAGTATAAATAAAGATTGGGGCAGTTTCTTAGTGCGAGTCTCAGTCTGGAGGCTGCCCTTGCTAGCAAGAAGTTCTGTGTGTTTCTCTTCTCTGAGTCTTTACTGAAGAAGTGTTTTAGAATATTTTCCCTAACACATCTTTTCTGTGGAAACAGTACAAAAAGTTTCTCATTAGACAAGTGTAACAGACAATGATGCATACACATCAGAAAACAACATGAATTTGAGAAAACAAATTGTGTAAAATGGTGACCAAACCTTTCCAACATAAATGTTCATGATCAAATAGATGAGGTGGCTCATAAAAATACTTTTCATTTACTACACTTACTCCAAATAGTTGCAATTATTTCAGTTTAGGTAACAAGCTCCATGTAAAGTTTGGCTACAATAGGTGACACCGGGAGCCCATGGCACATCCATGTTTTTCTCTGTAGAAACCTTGTTGTATTTAAAATATGTGGTGGTAAGGCAGAGGTCTAACAGTGTGCAAATCTGATCAGACGTGAAGCTGGTTCTGTTTTCTAAAAAGCTGTCTTGTTGTAGTCATTTTCTGACAGTCTCCACTGCCTCAGTTGTAGTTATGTATGTGAAGAGAGAGACTACATCACAGGAGATTAGTTTCATCATGATCCATCATCTCGAGTTTTTAATGTGATGGGGCATGTTCCTCATGAGGGGAGCCAGGATAGTGGTGAGGTCCTTGGAAATTTTGCAGTTAGCTGAGTTAATATTGCTAACAATGGGGCAACACTGGCCAGAAAAAAATCCCTCCAAATTGGAGTCTATTAGATAGATATGATACAAACCACTGCATGCACAGTAAAGAAGGTCAGAGATCAACTAGGGAGAAAGACAAAGTCAGCCCTTATGTTGCAGGTTTATCAGAGAAACTCCGGAGATTCTTCTCCAAGCACGACATCCCAGTGTACTTCAGACTCAGCCACACACTCAGACAAAAACTGGTTCATCCAAAAGACAAAACTCCTAAACACAAACTTAAGAACGTAGTGTATGGTGTACAGTTTAGCAAGGAGTACTCAGATCTCTAGACTGAGGAAACCAAACAGCCACTCCATAAATGTATGGCACAACATAGAAGAGCCACCTGGACAGAACAAGAATCGGCTGTACATCTGCATCTAAAGATCAAAGCATCTACATGGATGTTGAAATCACCCACAATAATTATTTTATCTGAGCTCAGAACTAAATCAGATATAAAGTCTGAGACATCAGACAGAAACTCTGTGTAAGGCCCAGGTGGACGATAGATGATAACAAGTAAGACTGGTTTCTGAGGCTAAGCTTTCAGGCTTTCAAGTGAATTAAAAGTCTGTCTTGGTCTTTCATTAATTAATAGGCTGGTGTGAAAAATTGCTGCCACACCGCCCCTCGGCCTTCGAGGTTTCTGGTAGTTAGAATGACTCGGGGGTGTTGATTCATTTAAACTAACATAATCATCCTGCTGCAACCAGGTTTCTGTGAGGCAGAGTAAATCAATTTGTTGATCAATTATTAAGTCATGTACTAACAGAGACTTGGAGGAGAGAGACCTAATATTTAATAATCCACATTTCACTGTTTTACTTGTTGGTGCAGTTTTCTTATGTTTAAGTTGGTTTGTGCAGATTTTTATTTTTATTTTGTCTGTTTGGGAGCTGACACAGTCTCTATGGAGATGGGTTTTTGGGGGGGTAGCAGGAGGAGAGAAGCTGCAGAGAGGCGTGCAAGACTGCAACTCTGCTTCCTGGTCCCAACTCTGGATAGTCATATTTTGGGGGGTTTAATAAATTTGTCCATATTTCTAGAAATGAGAGCTGCTCCATCCAAAGTGGGATGATGCCGTCTGTCCTAACAAGACCAGGTTTCCTCCAGAAGGTTTGCCAATTAAATCCCACAACGCTTTTTGGACACCACTCAGACAGCCAGCAATTTAAGGAGAACATGCGGCTAAACATGCGAGTCATGGTCTGACTAGGGAGGAGACCAGAGAAAACTACAGAGTCTGAAATTGTTTAAATTTCCATCAATGTTGCCTGCTCTGACCCCTGGAAGACAATTGACTATGGGTGCTGTTGTCTTTACCTCAGGGCTGAGACAGATTTTGGTAGCCCTGTACCTTCATATGTCTCAGAACAGAATCACCAATTACCAGAGTTTGATCCCTGGCAGGTGTGTCGCCAAGTGGGGAAAACAGTTAGATACATGAATGAGTTGGTGGTGTACCTGGAGCTTCTGTTTAAGACTGTGCTTCCTCCTCACTGTCACCCAGCCATCCTGTTTACCTGGCTGCTCAGGACAATATGTTGGGGCTTATGCTACCTTCGGCTGCACCGGCTACAGGGGCCTGGCTAGCTTCGGTTGTTCAAAGCCGTGATGTTAAGTCTCCAATTCAGTAATCCTCCTGCAAAGCTGCAGAGCTGCGGCTACATTTATTACAAGTATCATTATTACTAAAGGAGGCCGAGGAGTAACCAGATGTCTCACACACTGAGCAGGAAAGTGCAGAGGTACAAGTGAAGAGGACACACTGCTAGTGAGTCAGCTACGAGTCAAGCTAGCAAATCCCTAAAGAGATAGTGAGTGAATACTAGGACTATAATTAGCGAGTGAACAAACAGAGTGCTTCAGACAGGGCATACGAAGATTATACTATGACATAAGACAATAAGACAAGTTTTTAATTAAACTGGGTACACAGATAAGTTACACAAAAACACCACTGTGTCCTAACAGCAACACAAAATGATACTCTAGAGAGAGCCAACACCAAGTAATAGCACCACCCAGAGTGTGAATATGATGCCATTAATGTTTAAAAATGGGTACACACCGGCTCACTCCTTGGCGGCCGCTTGTCGGGGCCTGGGGCCTGGGGCTCGCTCGGGCCCCTTTGGAGGTGGGGTGCCCCCGGCCTCTCGGCCTAGGGCTCGGTCACTCAGGCGCAGCTGGGGGCCGGCGGAGCTCACGGGCGCGTCACTGCAACCCCCCCTGGCTTCTGCTCCGCGGCTGCTGAGTGAGCCCTCATCTGGGACTCTCCTCAGCTCTTACTGGAACAGTGGCGCGGCTGCCCCTCTGTTGGTCTTCCATGGTCTCTTGTGTTCTGGGGGCCTCTGGATGTCTGGAGTTTTGATCTCCTCCATACCCGCTTCACACCCTGGAGGATGGGGCTGTGGCCCCCCCACACTCCCTAGCAGATCATTACATGGAGAAACCTTTGGAATGCAAGCATGCTGATCCACACAGGTATGCACACATGGGTATTCACAGACGCGGACTAAAGCTTTCTTGGCTGCTGCCTCAAAGCACACTGTGCGCTGTCTATCTTGCGTGCTGCACAATATCGTTTATTACTTAGTAAATACTGATATCTATGACTAGCTAGTTTATTGTGATGGTGCTTTGTTTTCTCTATTATTATGTTGCTCTTTGTTGTTTGCTGTCTCCTCTGTTTGTTTGTTTGTTTGTTTGTTTGTTTGTTTGTTTGTTTTTTCTCCATACAGGTGACCCAGGAGTTTTTTTTTTGTTTTTTTTTGTCTCTCTTCCCCCCCTTCTCACCGTCTCTTCTCCCCTTGGGTTTTCTTTCTTTCTCTCCCCCTCTCTCTCTCATTCATTCCCCCTGTCCTATTTATTAAAAAAAAAAAAAAAAAAAAAAAAAAAAAAAAAAAAAATGACAAAGGATGAACTGAAGCTCTGCCATCACGTAATGTCGCATACTGCTGTTTCTGATGTCATTTAAAAAAAAAAAAAAAAAAAAAAAAAAAAAAAAAAAAAAAAAAAAAATGAAAAATAAAGCAGAGTGAGATTTACCATGGAAGTGTTATTTCAAGAGTCTGCAAGCATGCTCAGGTTTAAAAAACACCAATATTTTGATAGAGAAATTAGCTTGGGGCATCATGTAAGAGTTCATAAACAAATCAGTCACAACAGCAAGTTCATCTTCTATAATATACAGTATGTGTTTGCGAGTTTAGTTTTTCAACATTCAGTTAGAAACTGACAGCTTTTTTCCAGCATGCACATCGTCTTTTATGTTCATGTCTTTCCTCCCCGACCACATTCTTAGTGTTCAGTCTAAGCACATATTCACATTTTAGTGTTCACACTTATTTGAAGAATTATATCTCACTCACCATGATGCACACAGATCTCTGAAGAAATCCGATGCCATTTTTCCATCTGTGTGGCTACACAGTGATAACAGCCAGGCTCAGTTACAGTAGTCTGGACGGTGACGTGGAAGCGACCTTGTTGTTCTTCATCCTGCACCGTCTTAAAAGGAAGTGTTTTGTTGTCACTGTCCCACCACTCAACTGTAGGTTTAGGAGAAGCACCTGGAACTTGACACTGCAGCAGCCCCTTTTCTTTAAGTATTGTGACATACGGTTTTGGAGCTGCGCCTGTGAGCACATCATAGACAACAAACAACAGTGTTAACAATGTAACAATATGACATGTTGTCATCAATTGTTTCTACTGTTTCTGCATAAAGGAGTTAGTTTGATAAAGAAAAAGCAAAGCAGAGTACCACCTTAATCCTCCAGCATTGTTAACATGAGTTTTTACTGTAAATAACCCTCGTACCTTAAAAAGAGATGAGTTTGGGCAAATTTGCAGAGAAAGAGAGAATGATGCATTAGAGCAGCTAGTCTATATATCCAAAATCAATTATTTAAATGTATCCTCAGATGAACAATAATACATGATGTTATGCAATGTTATTATTTATTTAACAAAAAGCAAACTAAAATACAAAAAACACTAAGTATACCCTTACTGCATATGCATATATATATGCATATATATATATATGCATATGCTAGCCTTTTAGCCTTTGATCTTCACAGGAGTGGACATCCCACCAAATTCACCTCAAGGTCAGACCATGTGATCCTCAGATAACCTACAATCATCAGATAACCCTTGCCTTGCAATTAATATTAACAGAATATGCTGCTTGCAAACATATGCAGTCTTTTTCAGCTTTGAAAAACTTAATTCAACTTTGTAAACATCAAAATTTTACCTTTGAAAATGATATAAATCTGTTAAATGACCTATTGTCAGAATTATCTGGAATAAATAATCACAATTTTTTTTAATATAATACACCGCAAAGGCTCATTGGGGTTGAACAAAATTTCCAAAGTAATTTTAAAAACTATTTGCACCATAGAAGAAAAACAATAACTGTGGAGCTACTCCATGTTTATGTTTGGGAACATTGATTTCTTTTTTGGGGGGTTTACAGGGTTTATTTGGAGGTGTGCTCCTAAACTTTAGATCAGCTGTAAAACAGCCAGTTTCAGTTTAAGTGTCGTTTTCAATAAATTGCATGCTCGTTTTTTTTGTCTCATTCCCATGTCTTCTTGTTGCATGGTGAAGCTCTACTTGGAACCTTGTTAAGAAAAATTATTTCCAAAAAAAAAAAAAAAATCATTAAAAATATGATTTTGTGCCCTTTTTCAAGTTGCCTTAAACTTTTGATTGGGACTGTACACTGAAAAAAGTGATATTGTCTCCTTTTAAATATAGCATATTATATTTTGGTATATCTTTTCAATTCAAATGAGTAATTCCTGTCTACATATATAATTCGAGTAACTCCAGAATACATTCCCTGCGTTTTAATCCAATTAATTTTAGTTAATTAAATGTAGCTCAAAATGCTTAAGTATGTTTTTCATAGCCTCCTGCTGGGCCATTTTGCGCATGCGTTAGGACAGGCCACCATTTTGCACACGGACTGAAGAAGCGGACTCTTTGTGTGCTGCAAGCGGGCTCAAGTTAATCGCACAACTTCATATAAAGGTGGTCTAGCTTCGGTAAGTAAACCTTTTACGGTCGTTTTTGTTTTATTTTTTTACCTCAGTCAAAGCATGTTGACTCTTTAAGACGTGTGCACATGGAGAAAGAAGTCTAAGTAGTTGTACACCTCTGAACTTTGTCATGAATTTGACTTAAGCTAGCTATGTGCTCTATTAGCTACTGCTCTATTAAAAGAGTAATTGTATTGATACGTTAAAATGTCATATGTTTTTAGCTTAGTTCTTGTGGCACACTTTGTACTAACAAATTATGGAACGAGGCAATTTCTCTGTAGTTAGCTGTAAAGTTCACTGTACAGTCGCCTGCAGTTTTAAGTGGAGAAATCGTCCCTCCCGCCACAACATTGGCATTAAGGAATAGTCGGGCGGGGGAGGGGGCTTCTGAACGCACCTGCACAGTCAGGGGTGCAGTAGGAAATAAGTAGGATTGGCGTTGCACAACGTCTTTTGTGCAGAAAAAAATAATGGTTGTAAACTGTGGAGGAGACTAACTCAGTGGTTGCCAAAAATGTGAGATCAAAAGGCACTGAGAGTGATGTTTGTCAGAACTAAAATTAACTCAGAAAAGAAGTTGCTTCACTTGATAGAGCTGTTGAGTGCGAGACCTGTCAGCGGTCTGGTTTAGCATTTAAAGCCTCGCTACGTGCTTCCAAACTGCTGCATTTAATCTCAGAGAAAACTAACACAGAAGTAAAGCAAGTGTGTAAGTTCATCTCTTTATGTTTGCATAGTATTTCCATGTTGAGCTTAACAACCGATGTATGGAGCCACAGCTGGACTGGCTGTCGGAGTTTTGTATTGAGGGGGAAAGGAAGCGATTTGTTTTATACTTCAGCTAGAATGAAAAAAGACACAAAGCTGGAGTTATTCGGTGTCTTCATGCTGAACAGCTAAAACTTCTTCCCTCATTCTCCCCCCTCCCTCTCCTGTTGCTACTTCAATCATGAAACTGATCGATTATCAGGTGATCGGCTTTTCTGTCGCTAGTCTCTCTCATTTGTTAGTCACCCAGTTTGCGCTAGAAAGAGGAAAACGGCAGATAAACAACAGCAGCACGTTTAAGCTTGATAAGCTGTTGCTAGAATTTTTTTAATATTACTTCTAGTATCCGCTTATGTTTTCTGGAGCCACAGCCGTAATAGCTGCTGGTCATGATAGTTTGGATATGTGGTGAGAAGGAAACATGAAGGTGAAACCAGGAGAAGTTTTTACTGAATCATTAGAGCTGAACAGGTGATGAAGAAACAGGTTTACATTTTAGGTCACATGAATGAGTTGAAGGGAAGTTATGAACTGTTTATGAGAGACAAATAACACCAGGATCCTTTTCTATGTAGCTGACATCTGGTAACTGTGCAGGGGCGGATCTAGCAAAGTTTTGCCAGGGGCCAGGTAGGGCATTAACAGGGAAAGGGAGACACAAAGACATAATTTTCTTTCTTATTCTCATTTAAAATGTCTAGCTTTTAATAAATAATTATTCTAAATCTTACTACCAAAGTGGTGTTCTGGTTAAATGTATAGAGATCCATTATTGTATGTAGTAAATATTAAGTCTAATATATGCCCTAGTAATAGTAGTACATATAGCACTTTTTCCTTTGGGAAGGTACGCTGTCTGCGCTGTCTGCAACTGTATTGAAGAAAAATGTTGAATCAAATTATTATAGAAAAATAATTGATTTCTGTGCATTAAAGTAGATTACGTCAATTAAGCATTATCAGGCGGAGGGTGCGGGGTGGTTTCCTAATATTTTTGCTGGGAGTTGGCAGTCCTATTAGTTAGTTTAATATTTCTATGTACTGTTTAGAATACCTGAATAAGGAGGATGGTGTAAGTTTTTTAGGTTGATCAGTATTGCTGAAGTATAAAATATTTTGGGTGCAGTGTATTTTTTGCATACAGGTATAACAGAATAGCTTTAATGTTTTGTTTTTAAAACTGAGTATGAACTTATACAAAATGCAGCAAAATATTTATAAAAACAGTTTTATTTATTATAAAATACACTATATCGGATTCATATCGGCATCGGCAGATAATCAAATTTATGATATCGGTATCGGACATAAAAAAGTGGTATCGTGCCATCTGTAGTTTGCACAGAGGCACAAGTAAGATTTGTTTTGTTACAAGGGAGTATCATGAAGTAATGCACTAATGGCTTGGAAACGGTAATTGTTTGTCTTTCTAAAGTTTATTTTTTTTATTTGTCTTCCTTTTCTGGCAGATTTTCTTCCCCTTATGTGTTACTGTTTATTCAAGAAGATGGTGTTATTTTGGTAAGTACATGCAAATTCCTTACATATTTATCACAACAGTATTTGTCACAGTATTGCAGGGACAAGTTTATCTATCTCATCTTAAGGGTTCTTGTGATTATTAATATTGATATTAATTAATATCAATTAATATATATGATTACATTTCTTTTATCCAGGACAAAAGAAAAAAAAAACTTGCGAAAGTGAAATGAAAAACAGGAATTTAGTTCTTGTGAGTTAAGAGGATGCAGAGCATAGGGTTAGATGGAGGTGGATCATTCACTGTGGTGATCCCTGAAGGAAACAGCCAAGAGAAAAAGGATCAGATTGCAAAAAAAATGTGGTTTGTTTGCATACATGAGTCTTTACGGTACCCACAGGACTCCTGAAGTATAAGTACTCTGAAGTTTGCAGAGCAATTTCAGAGATGTTTGGAGCTTACATGGCAAGCATGTTTTTAGTTGCACATCTAAATTTTCTCTGCTCTCTGTTGCTGATGGCAGAGTTCTGCCCCGCTGACCTCACAGGTGAGACACTCCCACCAGTGGACAAAGAGCACAGGAAAATGTGTTGCCAACCACCTGAAACAGACAAATATCTGCTTTTTAAAACCCTTTAAACCCGTTAAATGGACTGATGCCATTCATTTCTTCTTTGATTAACAGTAGTAACATCCTTCATGCACTGTATACTAACCCATATGATAATCATGCTTTATGAAGTGATGGCAATTGCATTGTAGCATTTAATGAAGAAATAACAAAATAATCATACCAATGATTAAGCACCAGTCTTCTTTTTGTGTGAGTGTGTGAGTGTGTGAGTGTGTGAGTGTGTGTGTGTGTGTGTGTGTGTGAGTGTGTGTGAGTGTGTGTGTGGTGTGTGTGAGTGTGTGTGTGTGTGTGTGTGTGTGTGTGAGTGTGTGTGTGTGTGTGTGATACAGGTAAATGCTGAATTCCAGTGTATTACAACACTTCAGCTGGAGATGACCTTCGCGGCACAGTTAGACAGAATTACACCTCAGTTGATGACAGTTTTCCAGAAGAAGGGCGGTGTTTCTGGGCAGAAACTTGCCCACCACTTGCAGATCATGCAAGAGGTAAATCTGAATATTGCAAATTCTATTTGGATTTCTTTTGTCTTAAGTGGCAGGTCACTGGTGAGTCCAATAAGCCGTTTTAGGTGACCAGCCAAGCAATCTAAATTTTGAAATTTCATATATAAATTTTATTTACTATGTTTGAACTGACATATGATAAAATTTACTTATTGCGAATGTCAGACATTGTTCTTTTTTCTTATTTAAG